AAAGCAATTGTGTCGATCGACGCATCGCTGGAGATCGTGAGGATCGAGCCTATCCTCTCATGGCTCGGATCCAAAGCGATTCATCGATCTCCTGCATGAATCCATCAATAAAACACACAGAATCCAATCCAAACAACAGCAAACAATCATATTCCATCAATTTCTTTACCTAGATAAACCATGGTCACGCACTCACCTTAGGAAAAACGGTTATAACACGCGTTTCAAATTTCAGATTAAACCAAATTCGGTGGCTCTGGAAAGCTAAGACTCGGGGCTTTCCAATGATACCTAGATCGTCTTCTGCGTCCCTACAGAACGACGGGAAAATAGCCCGCAAGTTCGTTTCTCGGAACTGGAAACAGGAAATTCCAGTCTCAGAAAATATGAACGACACGTTGACATCTAAAGAACACAGAGAACAGAGATTACATCGGAAACAGGATCGAAAACCTGTTCTGAAAACTAGACAGAGGGAGCTTTCCATAGATAGGCGGATCGTCTCCTAAGTCCTTCTGGTTCGACAAGAATCCTCCCTCGAAATGGACTGATCGCAGACCCAAAACTACAAAAACATCTCTTAGTAAAACGACGATAACTCTCGGAATACGAGAGTGGAGAACTTAACCTAGAAGTTTCGCTCCGATCCGATCGTCCTAAACGTTCGTCTCCCCTTCTAAAATCGGACAGAACTGTTTTCCTCTCAAGAAAATCACTTCTCTCACAATTCTCTCTAACTCTTCTGGTTTTCGGCCAAAAGAGCCACAAAACAAGATCTCCACGCTTATATAATGGAACCTAGGATTCTCTAAACCGATCGCCAAACCGAGCGATAAAAAACCGAACAAGACGGTTCAATTTCAACTTGCATCGATCGATGCACAACACTTGTGTCGATCGACGCAACACCCAGAACCCGACTCCTCGCGAGTCTAAACACATGTGTCGATCGACGCACCACTAAAAATACACATTTTGGTTCACGGGCGTTACAGTGTATGTTTTAACCGACCAAATCTCATTCACTGAAAATTGAGGCCTTAACA